AGTTGTCACTTCCCTTCTTGGTTACAGAGTGTTCCTTATAGTCAATTTTTAAGGGTAAAAAAAAACTGCACAGAAGAAGAAGAGTGCGGAAAACAAATAAAGAAAATAGAAAGCCAATTTTTAGAAAAAGATTATGACCAGGATATACTTGATAAAGCATCAGATAAAGTCTCTAAAATTACTAGAAAGGAGATTTTAGCGCAAAAGGAGAAAAAAAGAAATGAAAGTCAAGGAAAGTTTTTTTGTCCGTTAATTTTCAATTTTAATGCTCAGTCTAATTATATTAGAAAGGCAGTGTCCAAAAATTGGGACTTGTTAAAACAAGACCAAATATTGGCATCTATATTACCACCAAAACCCAAAATTATATTTAGGGGGGCACCAACTTTAGAAGACACATTAGTGCATAGCCACATTAGACCGTCCCCTGAAAAACATTTCCTGAATTCTCATACAGGATTTTTTAAATGTGGGTCATGTAAAATATGCAAGTTGGTAGGTCCACCCTTTGGGGTAATTTCAGAATTCTCATCTACAACCACTAAAAAGAATTATAAAATTAAGGAATGCATAACATGCAATTCCAAACAGATTATTTATTTATTAGGCTGTACTTGTGGCCTGCAGTACGTAGGACAAACGAAACGTATGCTTAAAACTAGATTGGGAGAACATGTATATAATATTAATAGAAAATTTGATAAGCACTCACTGTCAGAGCATTTTAACATACACCACAATAGTAATCCAGCATTGTTGTCTTATTGTGGAATTCAAAGCATTAAAGTCCCATGGAGGGGGGGAGATTTAATCAAAAGTCTGATCCATAGGGAAACTTATTGGATCTATACATTAAAAACCCTGTCCCCATTTGGACTTAATGCCGAAGTGGAAATAGCCCATATTTTATAATTTGAATAATATACAAGGTTTTTAAGGCTTTTCATTATATTTTATCAAAAATTTTTTTTTTTTATTAATAGACCTTATTTTTAATCATCTTAGGGAAATATTCACCAATAATACTCACCTAATTTAGAACTAACAGATAGACCTGATTATATAAAACAATGTCTGCACCTTTAAGGAATATCATAAGGGTGTTTATATACACATTTGTTGTTAAGATCAATACAGGCATGAAGAGTCCTATCTAGTATTCAGACCCTAAAGAATAAGGGAATAATAGAACAACATTATTAGTTATTTTTACTGAGTGTGTGTAAAATCAGGACTTAACTGTAAATGTCAGGCAGAAGGGTTGGTGTAAATTTTTATTATGTTTCACCATAAAAAACTTACTATGTTTGGAAACGAAATTCAATATTCCAAGGTTTAAATTGATGATTCTGTTATTGGAAGTTTAACAAACACTAATTATGAAGTGTATTATATCCGTATGACAAGCAGAAAAACGGAACCCACATTTGCTTGTTATTGATCGAAATTATTTGTTAAAGTTATTCGTTAGAACTGATTTTTTTATGTATAGGAATTGATTCATGTTATATTGACTATATAATTTAAATTGATGAATGTTAACTTGTTAACAACCATAGAATATGGAGATGTAGAAAATTTATGGAATTCCTAATTGAATAATTGCATAAGTGAATGTCGTTTATATGAACGTACAACCCCCCAAACATTGTATCTTGAGAAAGCTCGTGGGACCGAGCGAAACGCGTAGATAGAGCCTTTGGCGGTTTTTTTGAATTTGAAGAGTGTGCAGAGCAGCATTGGTGATTTGGCGTTCCGGTAGGACGGATCCGTGTGCACAGGACCGGTCCAGAATTCAACATCTACGGAGCGGTAACCATTTACCCACCAACAAATACTCTGTACTACTAATGTTTTAATGTGAAGCTTAGAAATAAGTTTCACTATATCACACTGTAAGAGTTCCTCTTATGGGTTTTTTTTTTCGTATGGGAATAAATTTGTAACTATATTACGCTATGTTAGTATCCTTTCTTTGAAGGTTGGATACATACAAAGATTAAGAGCTACGGTTACTACTATAAAAAATCTCTACGGACATTTGAAAACTCCCACATTAAGACTATATTTGGAACTCTTTTTTCATTTTTAGAGTTGATCCCTATAAGATATATAGGGGTATATCGACTAAGCGCTGATACTAATAATTTTTTATTATAAACTAATCATGCAGTCTGTGGATTATTGGCAAACATGTAACAGTTGAGAAGTGTAACACTCCTTCTATAAAAAAAGCAGAGGCTATGAACACTCACAAACTGCAAAAATCAAATAGTACCTAAGCCAGACACATCAAAAATGGTGGATCCAAAATCTCAAATAATGCTTGAGGTAAAAAGAACACTATGTCTCTGCTTTTATTTCCCCTTTAGATTGAAGACATCTGGATTTTATTAGACCTATTTTAGTGGTCAATTACCTCTTGCATTATTTGAAGATTTTGTACCCACTATTTCTGATGTCTGGCTTAGGTACTATATTATTTTTGCAGTTTGTGAGTGTTCATAGTAGGAGTGTTCTATAGTAGGAGTGTGAGTGTTTTATAGTAGGAGTGTTGTACTTCTCAACTGTTACAAATTTGTCAATAATATTTGAGCAAGACTGTATCCACATTTTCTACTGTGTAATATATATATATATATATATATATATATATATATATATATATATATTTATTTCTATGTATTATTTTTTTTGTATCCATTGATATAACCATTTAGTCAATCATTGTTTTTTATCCATTATACCATGACCATTTTTATATTTTAATATTCTCATATTGGACTGTTTAATGTACACCTTGTGATTTTTCTATTTGTGTTTCTATTTTTTTTTCCTATTTCACCACTCTCTATCTTAAGAGTATATTACTCTTATTCTGTTTAGGAGGAAATAAGAAGTAGCAACTTAAATTTAGGTAACTAACTGACTATTGGAATATGTCAATTTTGAGATTTACGTCAGACTTCATTTAAGATTAACTATTATATTTTTTTGGTAACTAATCTAACATTAATATCTGTTGCCAAACCACTTGGTTTTATATTTTGTAGTGATTTTAGGGCTGATACCTCTCTTTTTGGATCAGCACCCTGTGATTAGTATTGGCTTTACAATTATACTTCTCTAGACTACTATTTGACTTGCATGATACCTGTTATTATATTTGACAAACTATTTTTAATAATTCTGTCACCAGGATACTTTATAATTGCCTTAAATCCATATCTATAGTATCTCCGTGTGTATCCATCCAGCACATAGAACATCAATTTCAAAAATTAATCAGTTCTCTTTGTGTTTTAGCATTAGTTGTGATCGGAATCACCTGACTATGCATTGAATGATAGCTAAAATCTCCAACTGAGTTTTAAAAGTGCTTTCTTAAATTTTCTGTCTCATATTCACATAACTTTCAATTTTAATAAACTTGTTTCATTATTTAAACCTTCACAAACTGATTATATTGTGAATTTATTGTTACAAGAAAAGAACATTTAATGGAGTTTATATAGGAGTAAATTATTTTCTTTTCCTTTACAAGAATGTGTCATCAATCTCTGTGCCTATTTGAAAATGTTCAGTTAAATGCAGAGATTGATCTTGTTAATCTCAATAGAACTAAAAATACACAAACATACAAAACTAAGCCCAGTGGTCAGGCTCCAGCTACTACTGGGTGGCAGCAATGACTATGTGAAGATGTTGCTTTGACGTTGTAGGTGAGCTAACACGTTAATGGCTATTGAAGTGATGCTAGAAAACCCTCCAATTATTTAAATGTGTATACGAATTTGGGATAGTGCCCAAGTAAGTTTTTTCTTTAGTACTCAAAAAATACTCAGAAACTTTAAGTGTGACTATACTTAGTTTATTCATCACTATAAAATAAAACAGTTGGCTTGACATTGACTACACATAACATCAGGTAAAGTGTTAAATAATGAAAGATGTGTCACAGGAAAATGAATAAAAACAAAACAGAAGTACAAACATTGTAAAGGTATATAATTTCACATTGTTAACAATGTCAGGAATGGAGATACCCTAACATGCAAATCTAAGGGAAACCGTAAAGGAACATGTACCATTCCTTAGAGTTAACGGCCTAGTGTTTAAGATGGATAAATAAAATGTTTGCAATCCGACAGAGAATAAGAGACAGATAGGCCAAGGTCTTGGATTACAGAGATACACAGAATTGATAGTTAGGCCAACATCAGAATAAAAAGAATAGCAAGAATAGTAAAACAAAAAAAGTTCAAAAACAGTAAATCCAATGCATAGTATAAACACACTCTTAGGCAAGAAGAACCACGACTGGGCAAGCAGTCAAAGACAACCAGAAAATATATATACCTTGTTAGGACATAGGATTTTCTGATTGATCACTTATTTTATGACTTAACTCCTTAAGAATGCATGATGCAGTTATTCTGTTATGGATGTCCTATTCTTTAAGGACCTGTGAGAGAATATTTCCATTATGTGGTATTTTATCAGCAGGTACTTTTTCCATGCTGGTAACAGTGGAACACCAAGTATCATTAGATACTACCCTCTGTCAGCTAGAGTCAGAATTAGTGGTTGTACACTGACAAATGAGCAGCATGCAGCACTCAAAGAACACTGCACTCGGGGGGGGGGTTGAACCTCCGGTCCGGCCAGCCAGACGCATGTAGTAAGAGCTGGGCTTGACAAAGCCTGAAAGCTACCAAAATCAGCGGCAAACAGTATCCTAAGTGCCCCATTTAAGTGCTCACCTAGAGGAGGCCCCCACAAAACCCGATGGTGCCTCCGAATGCCCAGTGCGCCTCTGACTTTTTCCGACAGGGCAAAAAAGAAAGGCAATGGCCTTATCAAGGTGGCAGCGGCTCCTGCTCCCCAGAACTGATTCCCTGCCACTACATTCCCTGGCACTGATTCCCTGCCACTACATCCAGGGGAAATTTTCATCTCAGAAAAGATTGACAGCTGTGCTACAGGAGCTGCACTCCTCAATGAGGGCAGACTTCCAGTCAGCCGTGGATGACATCAGGAAAGAGGTACACGATATAGGCACACGTATGGGCACACTGGAAGAACGCACAGACGAGTTATGCCTTGCCAATAATGAAATAGTGGACAAGAACCACAAGATGGAGGCAGACAAACAGCACCTGGTGGAAAAAATGGCATATCTGGAAGACCGCAACAACATCCACATGTGCGAGGTCCCAGAGACTGTCACAGTAGATGAGCTACCTGAGTACCTCCAGCAGCTCTTCCTGGCCATAAAGCCTGATCTGGACAAAGCGCAAGATGTCCTAAGGGATATCGTTACCAAGCTCCATTACTGCAGCACAAAAGATGCCATATTAACGGTGCAAAGGAAAGCCGTGACAATATCGGCTGATTATGCTGCCGTGGCCTTATATCATGACCTATAAGCCACAATGATGGACAGCAGGAAGGATTTCATTAACATCACTAAATGCCTTCGTAACAACAAGGTGCCTTACCGATGGGGCTTTCCGACAAAAACCCTAATCAGGCGCAACGGATCCCTTGCCAAAGTGGAGGACCCGGAACAGGGCATCCCCCTGCTGCGTACCTGGGGACTCTACCCGGAGAGTCTGACTACTGCAACCATCACCTCCCCACAGAAAGTGGCTCCAGAATGGACGAAGGTCCAGAAACTAAACTGATCGCTGACTTCTCCATGTTCCTGTGATGTGAGACCTATGCCTCGACTGTAGCAACCTCTGAGGCTTCAATCAAGGATGTTCCTTATGTACTGTTTAGGACTGATGGTTACACAACTTTAGGTGTTGGTATGGCAGAGGTGATTTGGGAACTCACATGAGTACAGTATCTCTTGGTAAGTTAACCTTACAATGAAGTATTATAGCCAGAAAAAAACAACAAAAATCTTTGGCCCTCTTTTCTCGTTGCCAAAGTGAACCCCAATTCCCCTGCATGCTAGGTAGCTGAAGCACGCTAGGTACCTCACCACAATGCATTGTACTCACGTAACTATTTCCAAACTCTACAGGCTAACTGAGTCCATATTACCTTGCCCTGTAGGGCAACTTTCGCCTCACTAGCCTAATATGGTCCCGCGATTCCTGGTACAATCCCTGAAGGCTGCCTGCCCCACTTCCCCCCCACATGTCTCCTTACATGAGACCATATACTGCTAAAACAGCACAGCCACCTTTAGGCCCGTTACTCTCCACCCCTCAATAGACGGTTACCTTCAGTGAGGCCCTTTGACATAGTGAAGGGTACTCACACGATGGACGGTCTACTCATGATGCTCTTATGCTTCTTACTATGTATATACTTTGGTTAATTCTTATTTAGTTTATTTTGTTTGCTTTTATAACTCTGTTTCCATGTTGTATATGAGATGCTCTCTTTTCTGTGTTGTGGGCACACAGGGGACTGTAGGGGGACTACCCATAAATTATGATGCATGGAGGGAGTCGGGAAGGGTTTGGATGCCCGGAGTACACCCCTGGATCTCCCCCAGCCTTAATAGATGACTCTCTCACAATGATTTAATGTACTATCCCAAAAACGGCCACAGACTTAACACCACACAGAAACGCAGATATGCCTTTCAACAATTACGTAAGTCACACGCCTCAATTGCGTGTATTCAGGAAACCCACTTTTCGGTAGTTAACCTCCCGAAGTTCTCCTCACTCAGATACCCCTAGCCTTTCCATGAGTTAGTGTCCAATAAGACTAGAGGAGTGAATATCCTCTTCCACTCGCACTGGACCTTTAGTTGTGAGAAAGAATATAGAAGTGTTGATGGCAGACTTCTCATCCAGGTGGGTGCCCTCAGTGATACCCTGATAAATGTGGCCAACTTGTATGCCCCAAACATCAACCAATCCGATTTTATTAGGAAAGCTAAGATTTTAATTGTGTGTTAGATCCTGACCTCAACAGATCTGGTAAACCTGGCTCTCACCTCCGATCCCTACTTCTCAGTACAAAATTGACTACTCTACTGCACTTCCATGGCTTACATGATACATGGCATTCATGGTACCCGGCCACTAGAGATTACACTTTTTATTTGCATGTTCATGACCAATATTAACATATTGACATGTGCCTGGTGGACACAAAAACACTAGACACGCTAGATGAAGTTACTATAGCCCCACTGACATGGTAGGATCATGCCCTGCTCCTCTCTAGCTTCATCACACTACACCAGATTAGAGGAAAAGCAGCATGGCACCTCAATATCGAGTACAAGGAGAAGGCAGCGGAGATAAGGAGGGCACTTAACAAATTTTTCATGGAAAACCAATAGATTGATACAACCCTACCCACGATTTGACTCGCACATAAAAGCTGTCATGCGGGGCCTCCTGATCAAACACGGTGCTCAATTATGATGCACACTCTCAGAAAAGTGCAACATACTTGTAAAAGACCTGAAAGACATAGAGGACCAACATAAAATTTTACCCACCGAGAACACTAGAACGTGGATGCTCAAGATCAGATCTGAGTTGGAAGTTCACCAACTCCAACAGGTAGAGAAAAAGCTTTGCAAACTAAAAACTGACTATTACAGGCAGGGGAATAGAGCAGGGAAACTCCTAGCCTCCCAACTGAAAGACAGATCTGCTCAGATGTGGATACCATACCTACTAGATGATAGTTGATAAGTTTGCAGCATTTAATGAGTCGCTGTACAATCTGTCTTCAGATCCCACCTAGCATCAGCCGAGGCAGGCTGAAATACATGCCTTTCTGGATGGGGTGTGTCTCCCCCAGCTCTCTGACACCCAGGTAAAGGAATTGGACAAACCTATCGAAGAATGACTTTGACCAGTCGGTGAGCTGATGCTACATGAAGGAAATCCTATATTGTTTTAACTTTCCATCCAAATTTCAATACAGACTCCTGTCCCTGTACTCTTCCCCTACAGCTACAGTGATGAACTTGGGTTTTGTCTCACGCCATTTTGCCCTTACCAATGGCGCTCGGCAGGGCTGTTCCCTTTCACCACTCATCTTTATTATAGCAGTAGAGCCTTTGATCTACAAAATCAAATCAGACCAGGCCATAGTTGGAGTACCATCCCCAATCGGACCCCCAAAAATAGTTATCACCTTCAGAACACATAATTTTAAAACACAATCATGGGAAACTAGTGACAAAAACTGAGGCAATGTTGGAGACCTGAGGAGGGCAAACTCTTCTTGGCTGGGGCACATAAATGCCACAAAAATGATCATGCTTCCACAGATCCTCTTCCTCTTCAGGGCCTTACCAATCGAGATCCCCAAAACTATATTAATGCAGTTTCAACATATGTTTAATGCCCACATATGGAAGAGGAAACGACGAGGGTCTCTCTGGCAAGCATCAGAAAGAGTATAGAAGGTGGGGGAGTGGGAGTACCAAATATCACTAACTATTACTTAGCCACAATTCTGGTGCAGATAGCTAGACTTACGACATCTCCACAGACCCCATATGGCACAGGCTTGAATCAGCAACAGGTGCACCACACTCATTGACAGACCTGATGTGGGAACCCTAACACGCAGACAGAATTGCAATACCAATCCTTAGAATGGTCGGGTTATGCAAAAAGGGATAGTCAAAACAGGAGCCGAGGTCAAGAGAAACAGAGAGACTGAATAATGAGAGACAAAGCCAAATATCAGTATCCATGAAATCCAAATAACAAGTGCAACACTCAATGGTAAACCAAAGACCACAACAAGGCACTGAGGCAAGGGAGAGCTTAGCTTATATACACACAGGGTGTGTCTGATTGGCTAATCTCCAATTAGTGTAAACCACAACATGTGGGAGGAGTTTCTTTCCTCCCTTGTGGTCTCTGAGGTCATCACTGTGTGCCGGGTCACATGACCGGGTCTGACACATAAGGAAGCTGCTCTAGAGTGTGCAGTGTCAGACACACTGCCAGTCTGGAGACAGGCACCGGATGACACCGCTCGCTGTGATGAGGTAAGGAAGGTTGCCGCGAGTGGTGTGGGGGCAGGGGACCTGACACCTGGGAGACACAATTGATACCTCCTCTGTCAGCTGATGCCATTTTTTGTGGCTTAGACTTGCAGGTGAGCTGTATGCCATGCTCACAGTAGACACATCTGCCAGCAATTAAAATGGGGATTTTAGTTATGGTGAATGCCAGAAAGAATTCCTTAGTCAATGTGTGCACACAGTCTCAGCGCCAACAGCACTGAATCGCTGCTTCGCAACATGGCTGCACACAGTCATAGAAATTATAAACAAATAATAATGTCCTTACTGTATGTCCATGTGTATCTTCTCCTTCTAATGCAGGTTGCTTTGCAGAATTGTCAGTGGTTGAGCTGTGTGCTTATATTTGATAAGGAAGTATTCTTTTTATGGAGTAAGGGGATGTACCTAAAGAGGCAGCTTATGGTGCCTAATTCTGCAAAGATTTTTTTTTTACACAAAAACTATAAAGATCTGAGCATGGAAAAATAAATACAACAAATTAATGAGGCCAATATCTATACAATGCATTAATGTTGTATTGGTGCCCTGAGTTTCCCATTAATTGCAAAACAAGCAAACTGAAGCTTTGTTAAGTTGTTAAGCAGATTTCTACTCCAGCTAGTAAACAGACCTCAGACTGTTACAATACCTGGGGATGTGCACTGTGGTTTAGTGTACATTTATAGAATAGTCATTTAAAAAACAAAAATCAACAATATAACATATTTGTATGTTGTCTAATTCTAAGGAAATATGATTGAATATATATTAGACAGCTAAGATAACTGTAATCAAAATACAATTTTAGATTTAAATTGTAGGACCAGTTAATTACATTTCAGCCAATACTGTTCTGACTCTTGTGTAATTTATTTACAACACTGTATACAATTTAAGTATTATATTTGCTTCTACAAATAATTCTCACTTTTAATAAACTTTTTTTTGCTTCAATATTGTTAAAATATAGATAGATTTTTTTCCCAGAAAGATTTTCTATTCTTCGTGCTAGTTATACTTTTCAAATTTGACAGTTTACTCCCAAATGAGGGCCAAGATGTTATTAAAACTGAAGTTGATATGCGGTTAGAAATATACAATTTTTAACACACATAAACAATATTTTAACACTTCAAAATGCTTGATGACCTTTTTAATAAAATGCATTAACAATTAAAAATGTAATGTATCTGATTGTATTTTAAACATTTACAGAGTACTTTAGTGTGTTGATTTGTGAGAATATTATTTTGTGATATTTAAAAAAATAATTTCACTGTTAATTATTTACTGATATATCTAGTTTGCACGGGAATAAATCTATCACAATTAAAAAGCTTGTCAAGAAAGAAAAGAACACTTTCATGATTTTGATAAAGTAATTGGAAACCCCTATCTGACCACATACTGACTGTCAAA